TCAGATTGAAGCCATTTTGGTTTTTGTTGTGTTTTAAATAAATAAATAAATAAACCACAGGAGCTGAAACTCGGGAGCTCAATGATCCTCTCACCTCTCACCTGAGCCTCTCAACCAGCTGGGACCACAGGAGAATGCCACTGCACCCAGCTTTTCATATTGGAGTTTTAAAAAATGTTTTCTAAATCTTTTAAACAAGATTTTCACATACCAAAGAAATCTTTATTTTTTCAAGATGGGCCTCGCTCTGTCACCCAGGCTGGAGTGAGATGGCATGAACATGGCACACTGCAGCCTCCACCTCCTGGGATCAAGTGATCCTCCTGCTTCAGCCTGAGTAGCTGAGACCACAGGCATCCACCATCATGCCTGGATAATTTTTTGATTTTTTTGTAGAGATGTAGTCTCATTATGTTGCCCAGGCTGCTCTCAGAGTCCAAACAATCCTCCTGCCTCAGCCTCCCAAAGGCTGAAATTACAGGTGTGAGCCACCCACCTGCACACAAATAATTTTTAAATTAAAACTGATGGGGAATTAAAAATATAACATAGGAATAGCAATAGTGATATCAGATGAAATGTATTTTTAGGATTATTATATAATGACAACAGCAAACTATGTGAACAAATGAAGAAAATTCAAGTCTCAATCCTACTTGCACCAGTCTAATCACTATGTATAAAGCAAAAGCTATTCAAGAACCGAAATATTACTGGAGCAAGATCTGTTATATAAGGGGATTTTTTAAAAGACATGCTTCCCAGAATTTGGCAGGTTCAGTAGACGGTTTTTTAAAAGGTAGTAAAATTGGCTTGGTTGGTGGCTCATGCCTGTAATCCCAGCACTTTGGGAGGCCAAGGCTAGTGAATCACTTGAGGTCAGGCATTTGAGACCAACCTGGCCAACATGATGAAAGCTCATATCCACAAAAAATAGGGAAAAAAAAATTAGCTGGGCATGGTGGCGTGCACCTGTAGTACCAGCTACTTGGGAGACTGAGGCAGGAGAATCAGATGAACCCGGGAGGAGGAGGTTGCAATGAGCCAAGATCTCACCACTGCACTCCAGACTGGGCAACATAGTGAGACTCATTTAAAAAAAAAAATAAAGAAAAGAAAAGAAAAATTGAAAAGATAGAATTTCAATTGTGTCCATGGAACATTTATGAACACTGACCATATAGTAGTCACTAACTACATATAACTATTGAGCACTTGAAATGTGTCTATTCCAAATTAATGTATGCTATAAGTGTCAGATATATGTTAGATTTTGAAGACTTAACAAGAAAAAAACTATGGAAAATAGTTAAGTCACAATCTTATGTTGAATACATGTTGAAAGGATAGTATTTGGGATACATCTGGTTAAATAAAATGCATTATTAAAATTAATTTCAGTGGTTTCTTTTTGCTGGTGTTTAACATGACTGCTAAAAAAGTTTCAATTATATGTATGTGGTTTACATTATATTTTTATTGGACAATTCTGTATTAGACCATCAAGATAACCTATTAAAATTTTTTTAAGTAGTGTCTTCACAAGAAACCTTCTCTTACTATAATCCAAAATAACTAGAAAAAATCAGAGAGAGATGACTACAAAAAATATTAACAATATCAGAATTAGGAAATAGCCTTATAAATAGGTGTGGCATCGAAGGAGAAATTTTAAAACTGGTATTTAAATTATCTAAAAGCAATGAAAAGAATAGCAATTTTTACCAAAACCTAAGGGACATAGAAAAAGTTTTACTCAGAGCCCTCAATGCTTCATTAAAAAAAAAAAAAATCAAATGTAAAGAAATGTAATTTTCCTCTAATGAAGTTAGAAAAGCAGCTACAAAATCAACCAAAAGAAACTAGGATGAAATCACTAAGGCAAAAATAAGCTGCAATTAATGAAACAGAAAACAAAACAGTAAAAAGAATATGCAAATTCCAGTTATTTCTTTGAGAAGACCAATAAAATAATTTAACCTATCATAAACTTTAAATCAAGGAGAAAGAGAGAGAGCAAAAACTTCTGATTTCAATTTTGGTCTTGTATATTTGTAGAAAAATATCAAATCTAAGGGTCAACCAAACCAAATAAGTAAGGGTGACAAAATAACAAAGGAAGTTAATATAATATAAATGATAATGGCATGCTTATCACAGACAATACATGATAAAGATTTTGGTGTAAATAATCTTTCATGCACTCAGTAAACTGGCATGAACATGGCACAGGTCTGCAGGCAACACACCTTGTCCTGCAAGAATCTTCTAAACTCTAACAATGGTGATGATAGGTATTCCTCTAAGAGGCCTAAGGTGATCTGTGAAAATTCTTCTTTATTCACTTGATCCAGAAACCCCCACAAAATCATGCAAATCAAGAGGTTTCAGTTTTCCTGTTCGCTTAAAGGACATTCCTGAAACTACCCAGGCCATCAAGTATATGCACACACAAAGAGCCACCAAGTGTCTGAAAGATGTCCCTTTACTGAAGCAGTGTGTGCCATTTTGATGTTGCAGTGGAGGGGCTGGGAAGTGTGCCCAGGGCCAAACAGTGGGGCTGGACACAGGGTCAGTGGCCCACATAGGGTGCTGGACCTTTGCTGCACATGCTTTAAAATGCAGAGAATAATGTGGAATGTAAGCGTTTGGATGTAGATTCTCTAAGGGTCAGCGAAACCAAATAAGTAAGGGTGACAAAAAACAAAGGAAATTAATGTAAAAAAATTTAGTCCCAGCACTTAAGCACATTAAGCGTATCAGGTAAACAAAGCATCCAAGATGAGCTATGGGACTTGCAGAGCTCATTATTGGATTAAACCATACATGACCCCCCAGTGCCACATCCAGAAGATCTATACGGACAAGGAACAAATTGTTCCTAAACCTGAGGATGAGGTTGTAGAGAAGAAAAAGATATCTCAGAAGAAATTGAAGAAAAAAAATACCCATGGCACCAGAATAAATTTAGCATAAAATAAATGCAATTAAACTAAAATAATACTAATGATAACGGATAATATTTATTGGGTGCTCACTATGAAATCATTAAAACTAAAATGGTTAGGGTACCTGTCCTAGGTCATATAGCTAGTAAGATAAGAGTGAAGATTGGAGCCAGTGCAGTTCAGCCTAGAGAATACATTAATAGCGAAAAACCAGAAGAAAAGAGCCACAATCACTATTCAAATGCCTTCCTAATTTTCCACATTTTTACAAATCTAAAGAACATACATATTTTTACAATTCAGTAACTGCACTGCATAGGGGAAAAGAAAACCAGTAGAACAAATATCTTGTGGTTTCACCAAAAACAAAAATAAGTCGGGCGCGGTGGCTCACATCTGTAATCCCAGCACTTTGGGAGGCCAAGGCGGGCGAATCACTAGGTCAAGAGATCGAGACCATCCTGGCCAACATGGTGAAACCCCATCTCTACTAAAAATACAAAAATTAGCTGAGTGTGGTGGCACGCGCCTGTAGTCCCAGCTACTCAGGAGGCTGAGGTAGGAGAATTGCTAGAACCCAGGAGGTAGAGGTTGCAGTGAGCTGCGATGGAGCCACTGCACTCATGCCTGGCGCCACAGCAGACTCTATCTCAAAATAAATAAATAAATATATTATAAATAAATAAATATATATTAAATAAGTAAATTATAAATATATGTATATAAAGTTTAGTGTCCTTTGCAATAATACCTACATTAATAAAAAGAAGTACAGAAATAAGAATTCAAAGGACCATGAATAATCTCATAGAAGTTCATATAAATTCAGTGAATATGACAAAAAGGGCTCATTCTCTCACAAGAAAGATGGCTCCCTGGTTGGGCATGGTGGCTCGTGCCGGTAATCCCAGCACTTTGGAAGGCCAAGAGGGGCAGATCACATGAGGTCAGGAGTTCAAGGCCAGCCTGGCCAAAATGGCGAAACTCCGTCTCTATTAAAAAAAAAAAATAGCTAGGAGTGGTGGCACATGCCTGTAGTTCCAGCTACTCAGAAGGCTGAGGCAGGAGAATCTCTTAAACCCGGGAGGTGGAGGCTGCAGTGAGCTGAGATCGGGCCACTGATCTCCAGCCTGGGCGACAAAGCAAGAATCCATCTCAAGAAAAAAAAAAAAAAAAAAAAAAAAAGATGGCTCCCTCAGTGATGTGTGAATTTGGTTTCTCAGATCCCAGAGTACTATTTCATCAAAACCCAAATATTCTGTATTAATGAAAGCCACCTCTGAAACTTTTGGAAAAAGAATAGGTCCCACTATAGAAACTTTGAGTGGGATAGGGTGAGTTTGGTGATGTGGTCAGCCCCTCCAGAGAAACCGTTCCCTTCTTGAACACATGTCCATTCATCACTGTCCCCAGCTTCACTGGGCTTGTAGATTCAGTCTTCTCTCCTCTCTAGCTCCTTCTACTCTCTCTTGATAATTTCAGCATTCCAAGTAGAAGACCCATTTGGCATGCAACCATCACTGTGCCTTCCCAACTCTGCTATGTCCCCAAATCATACACCAGACCCCCAATTCCTGGTCAGAAAAACTTTTGTCAGCACAGATCCCTCTCTGGAAACCAGACTCCGTGTGTCATTCTCTAGTCACAGACATCCATCCCACCTTCACTGCCCCACTTCCACTGCACTGAGTCAACCTCTTTGAAGCTTCTACATTCTGTGAGTGTTTAGGTCTCCTGTGGCCACCTCTTTAACTTTTGCAAGAAGGGATCACTAAAAGTTATCACATCAACAATTGTAATTTGCTGTTGCATCATCTTTCCACTGAAAATCACGCAAGCAAAAACCCCAGGATGGAGCAGTTCCCAATGCAGTCTCCCTGCTCCTGTCCAGCTGAAGGACATGCAACAACCATGAAGATGGTGCCTTTACAAATGAACAGTCTCGGTGAACCGCACCAGTCCTTGTCCATCCTTTGACAGACCCTCGTCCCTGCCTCTCCTTCCTCTCAGTGGCCATTGAAAACCTGAAATACACTAGACCCGTTAACAATTTATCTCACTGAAGACTATTATGACAATGAAAGAGGAAATAAAATTTTTGGAAAGATAAGTAGATATAGAAGCACTTGTAAGTAAATACATTTTTTAAAAAGTGTTTTGCCTGGAACATTGATTGCATGAAGGCACCAATACAGACCTGAGATAGTGGCTTCCTGTTGGCACAGTTGATGCCCCCAATGAAGACCATGTTGGGCATGATCGGCCTGGGGTAATCCATCACAAAGTCCCCTCTGAACAACCACACAGATGCATGGCTGAGAATATCCACCACTGACACCTCTCTCTGAAAAAGCTCAGAGGCAAGGCTTGCATAAGGAGCAGAAAAAGCATGGCAAATATAGGACAGGGCCAGAGGGTAGAGCATGTTTTTGACCCTCTGCAGGAATGTCATGTGGTCTGAATTCGTTGTTAGTAACTTAGGAATGTAGGAATAAGGATTTGGACACTGTGTGCCCTTAAAGTCTAAGTCACATGGAATGTACCTCAAAAAAAACACAGTAGGAATCGACACGTACTTAGCCAGCACTGCCCCGCAGAGGTAAACGGGGTCTGTTAAAACCACATCAAAGGAAGCAGCATTCAGGTGCCTGATCAGGGTCTCATTATGCAGTAGCTCCACACAAGACCTATGTACAACCAAAGACATATTTTTCAAAATTTCCATACTTCTAGAAAATCTCTTCAGAAAATGTTCTGTTTCAAAGAACCACTGAGTGTGGCCCAGCACAAAGCGATTAAATTCATCCTGGGTCCATGCAACGGCATAAGTTGTCAGGGTGAAAAAGTCCTCTTCTTTGATGTGCATATTCACCTCCGGGGTGAGGACCACCGCCTGGTGGCCCCTGGAGTGGAGCTCCCGCACAACCTCCCGCATGCTGAGCCAGTGGCTGCCATCCGTGGGCAGCACCAGCACCTTCCCACTCTCAGCCCAGGGATGGACACTGAGGAGGAGCAGCAGTCCTGTGGCTAGTCGTGGCAGGGGAACCTGGAGCCCTGTGGCCATCTCAGCAGAAGCCACCAACAGCTGACTGTTCACCCTACGCTGTGCCTCCTACATTTGTCTCCTTCATCTTAATAACCTTGTCACTGAGCCACTTAGCAAATCAACGTGTAATTGGAGACAGAGTGCCCTCCTCTAGTTAATTATTGCCCATTAATCTGTCATTGTCTTTCATTATGGGCCCCACCCTGGGAAAGACTAATCACTCTTATCTTGAAAAACTCATCTGACCCTGCACTTGCTCTGGGGAACATCCAAGTTCAAGCTTTTGTTTCTCATCCAATTTCTAACACAAGCCTGGACACCCATTCATGTCACTGCCTCTTACTTCTCTGTTAACCATGTTTATCATTATTAGGCTGCCGCTGAGGTCTGAGAAGTCACTACTGCCCTAGTCTCCAACCATATGCTCTCTGCTGAATGTGACCGTATTTGCTAACTCTTAAAACTCTTTCTTATGTATGAATAATATAGCACATCCAAAAAACATACAACATTGCTAAGCCATCTTTTTCTAAACAGGGAGTAGGGAAGCTGGCTATCTGGTTTTGGTCATTTTTCCCACCAGGATATTTCTTGCAAGGATTAAAGCTCTGAAGTGGCTGTCAACATAAAAATAGCTGCAGGGAGGCTGAGGTCAAGATGTGATGATCAGATTCTTGGGAAGGCTTTGCTGAGAATGCTCCATCTATCCCATGGAATAAGAGGTGCTGCTGTCTAAAGCACACATGGGCAAGACAACCCTAGCAAAGATCCTTAGTGGGTTCAGGGAGCTCACCACTCACTAAGGGACTAAGGGGAGCTGCTGCCTGGCGTCAGATCTTGCACAGTCTGAATTCCTCTTCCGAATGCGGAAGGCTCCAGTCTTCTGCAAGTCTGCTTACAGACCGAAGTGTCCATTCATTGAGCCCTTTATTTTATACTGAAGATTATAGTCAGGCTTTTCTCCAAGTCAATGCAGCACCAAGTTCTGATAAGAATGGTTCCTCCAGAACAGAATGGGCTGCATAATTTGTGGGGCCCTACTTCAAATTTCAAGACGATGAATTAAATGTGTGACCTTCTAAGGGAGAGACCCTGAGAGACCCTTCTCACAAGGGTCTCACACTCATGAGGCTTGTCCTACTCCAGAAAGTCACTCCTACAGGTGCTTGGAAAGATTGCTGATGCCTCCTTGTCCTGGTTGCCCCAGGATGATGTGGGCAGGCTCTCTGGACCGTGCACTTTCTATCTCAGGTATCTGTGTCTAGATGCCTGTCTGGGTCTACCATTGCTGGTGAGGCTGAGGCTTCCCTTAGGGAGGAAGTTACCCTCATTAGAAATCCACATTGATGACAGATTCCACCTTTGGACAGAATCCATGGGACAGGCAGTGAATGGAAGCGTCCACTAGGGCACACCCAGCTCAAGGGCGGCACATGCAGGATGTCACAGAGAAGGCAGGTCTGCAAGGGCTTTGAGAACTCTCCAGGGGAGGACAATTCCTGTTATGATGACATAGAACACTAGAAAGGGATTCTCAGCTGTAGGTGCAACATCTCAGCCTCTGAACTATTCCTCCAACCCCCTTAGAACTCGATGCCTCCTAAGCACCCTCCTGATGAGCCCAGGGTGAGGGCGGAACATGCCTGAGAGGGTGCTCTTCCCACATTCAAGGGGCTCTTTTGTTCTGTCTCCATGCAGCGGTGTTTTATTTAAGACAGTGATGTCACCTCATTAGTAGTTACATATCTGGCCCTCCTACACCCTGGGGAGTCCCACATACTTTGGAAAATGGTGGTGCCTTCAGAGACATGGCAGCTCTAAGGAGAGCAGGACTGTGGGGAGGGAGGAGCTCACATTCCTGGTGCCTGGGAAACAGAAGGAGCTGACCAAGGCATCAGCTTCCAGGGTCTGGAGATGAGGAGGGGTCTGGGCTGCACAGATAGACTTGGAGCGATCAACATATGTGGTGGTTGAGCCATGGATGTCAGTGAGGTCACCCAGAAAAAGGCATCCTGAAAGCCTGACCTGAGTGATCTAATTCCCCTCTGCCAATCTCAGAGACCTAAGCATACAAACTGGAACTTTTTAACATTTTTAAGAGAACACAGAAACTAATCTTCACACCTTGGGGTAGACAACGCTTCCTCAGGTACAAAAAGTACGAACAATGAAAACTTTGCTAGATTCAACCTCATCAAAATCTAAAACTTTTGCTCTTTGAAAAATATTGTTTTTAAAAAATAAAAAAATAAAGATAAGGAGAAAAGGAGGTCATTGAATAATAAGCAGACAGCTCTGAAGCCTGGAGAATAGAAGTCTGTGGAGGACAGGAACAAAAATTTAAATGGCTAAATAGAGGAAAACCTTCAAGCTTTGAATAAGATGTGGCTTTCACTTTAAGCTTAGCGTCTCCGGTAGGCAGTATCGCAGCCCCACAAAAGTATCTACATTGCAGTTCCTCAAACCTGGGAATATGTTCCATTACAGGTGGAAGAGACTTCACAGATGATTAAATTAAGGGTTTCGAGATGGGGGGATTATTCTGGGTATCTGGGCGGGACAATGGAATCACAAGGGCTCTTACAAGTGAAAGAGACAGATGTTAAGAGTTGGAGACTTGAAGATGCTACACTGCATCTCCATGGAAATGGAAAAGTGCCATAGAATTCCAAAATTAACAAGGACAAAGGAAATTTCTATTAAAGGAATGAGCTTACACTCAATGGAAAGAATACAATTAAGAACAGACAGAATCAGAATGCTGACTTCAAAAGAAACTATCAGATTGAAGCCATTTTGGTTTTTGTTGTGTTTTAAATAAATAAAT